TGATGAATGGAGCAAGGACTTAAAATTACTTGACCTTCATCCCTGGCAAACTTTCAATCATAAGAGTGGACCCCGCTGCTAAATGAGACAATCGCTGAAGAGGAGAAGAAAAAAGTCGTTTTATCCCATGACGTTTGATCGTGAACCCTCATTTCCCAGATAATATTATATATCAGTTCGGGGGCGGGATTGCCGTTGAAAGCGTTGCATCCAACCGATGGGCCCTACTGAGGCGTTCCCTTATCGTATCCTCTTTCTGGGAACTTTCCCGAAATCTGTTCCCAGTAACGGTTCGACGTATTTTCAAACCGTGCGCCTAGGTCTTTTACTGGCTTCCAAGCTGACGATTAGTGAGTTTTAAAAGGCATCAACATATAACATACTCGTAATAGACTCCCATGCCATACATGCGAGCTTGTGAATCTGTTGTTACGGGATCCGTTATTTTGGAGTTATTGGTGCCGTCATCTACTTCGGGTTGTTTTCCGTCCTAAAATCAATCCTTCTTTACGGAGAAACCTGAGCAAGAAATGGACTTTCTGAAATTCTTCACCGCGTTTAATGGGAAGGGAAAGGTGTTGGTGAGCAGACCAAAAAATGAGATTGCTTGAGCTAGTACCTGTTCAACTTGCTCAGATTTGTTCAACTGTTTATAACAAGAGAAAGTGCACCCTCGATGCCCAACACTGCGTTTGTTGGATACCGTCTACGTACCGTTTTTCTTTTTATTATTGAATGAATTGCGAGCAACTGTTATGACGTTCAAAAACCGAGATATGTAATTTCGCTGAAGGAGTACACAATTTGATAATTCTCTTCAGTGAAAGATAAGCAAGGATACACCGACGCTGCAAGTTGCTCTGTTCTGCAAAGCATCATTCCATTAAGCTTTGTCCGCGTGGACGCCTTGATTTTCTTAATCTCGTGATGACTGAGCTGTACTTTCCCTTTTTGGTCTATCATCTGATTCTGGTTAGTTGTACTGCGATAGTAATGCCATCTGTTGACGGTAATGCTCAAACGCGGGAGCAATTGCAGGGAGTATCAGTTGCCTACGTAGTGATAACCTTGAGAGCTGTTTTTGACCACACTCTCTCTCATATCCCATCATTCTTTCAGTTTTGTAGTGGGAAAAGCTGGCCTAAGTAATTTGCTCATGTAGAAAGAAGAAGGAAAGCGACCGTTGAGACCAGGCTCTCTTCGGCGGCATCTTGAGGGAAATTCATCGTTTTCCTGATGTTCTGGCAGAGGAAAGCAGTGTGGCAATCAACAAAATGCCATCAGTTGAGAAACTCTCTGATCAGGAACCTTTGTTACGCAAACCTTCGAGTGTTGCTAGATACTCATTTTACATAAGTAATAAGACTACATTTCGGTTTCTGTGGTACCAAAAAGATCCATATCTGCGAAGAGTGAACCAGGAGTTACCTGTGATGTGTCATCAACTTTTGGATTAGATGGCTTCCGATCAGGTTCAGCCTGAAACAATAGCTGTGAGAATGTGGATGCAATTCCTTGCAGATGGGCAAGAGATGTCGGGTTTTAAACCTGAAAGTTGGGGATGACTGGGGAAAACTACATTTTGGGCAATGAAAGGGTACAGCGGCGGATTTTGAGTTCTGTGGTGTCCAAGACGAGAAAGGTGATGCTTAGGAGTGATATGGGGACTACCATGAATATGTAGTTGTGATATGTTCCCGATTGCCTTTGAAG